GGTGATAGAGGTCTTGCTTACTATGTCAGAGGCTCTGGGGTCAAGCCCGAGTACTGAAAAACAAACAAAAATGAGGTTGATGCTTAGGGAGTGGAGTGACTGATGAAGGAAAACAGAAACAGAGAGGAGAGGGGGTGTGTCCAGGTGTGCTCTGACACAGCATGCTGTGAGATCCAGGGATGAAACTTGGGTTACGAGGCTTGCACAGCAAATGTGTTTACCCACTGAGCCATCTCACTGGCACCCTTTTAAATCACGGCAGGCCTCATTGAGAAATGAGACCTGGAGGGGTAAGGGAGCAAGGCTAGCTGAAGCTGGAGACAAAGCTATTCCTACAGAGGACTTGCAAGTTGCAAACCAAGGCAGAGAGACATAAGGGACAGTGGCAGGAGGGACTGAAGTCCAGAAGGGGAAAGGGGAGATGATGGCCAAGGAGTAGCAGGGTAGACAGGGAGGAAGGATCCTGGAGAGCTGTGCACCATTGTGGCCACTTTGGGTTCTCATCTTCATGAGATGGGGGTATGCTCCGGGGATTTCAGGAGAGAGTGATGTGATATGACTTACTGTTAATTGATCTCTCCAGCTGTGTGTTGAGACAAGAGCAAGGGGGGCGGGGGCAAGGAATAGAACAGGGTTGGGCCAAGGTGATAGAAATGGAGGTAGTTGCTGGGCCGTGGTGGTGCATATCTTTGATCCCAGCACTCAGGAGGCAGAGGCAGGCGGATCTGTGTGAGTTTGAGGCCAAACTGGTCTACAGGGCTAGTTCCAGAACAGCCAGGGCTACCCAGAGAAACCCTGTCTCAAAGACAAACAAAAAGAAATTGAAGTAGTGAAGAGTGATTGGCTTTGGGGTATATTATGAAAATAAAAAAAAAAAAGGAAGAAAGAAAGAAAATAAAGCCCAAAAGATTGGCTCAGATTAGACAGTTTGAAATGACTCCAAGGTCTGAAAAGCTACTAGCTGAGCTGGGAAAACCTGAGGTGGGAGTGGTTAAGTCTGTGACATCTGTGAGACATGTAAGGTGTCAGGTAGGGAGTTACAGGAGTGAAACTGGTCCTCGGGGAGAAGTCTGGGCTGGAGAAACAAATTTGGTACTGTCAGCACAGGGATGGTTTTTAACACGGTGAGTCTGGATGACATCACCACAGAGTATGGGGCCAGAGAAGAGGTGAACTCCTGGCACCCTGGGGCACACAGCAGCATGGAGAGGTTAGGAAGTCAGGGAGGGGCTAACAGAGTGACACAAGTCCCAGCTGGCAAAGCAGAAGGAAAGCCCGAACTGAAGTGTGTCATCGTCCGTCGTCTCCACAGTCGAGCGAGACAAGGGCTTCAAGAAGCACCACAGGGCCGACTGTGTCAGTGTAGCTGGTAGGTCAAATGAGACCAATAACCAGTTCCCAGACCTAACATCCTGGAGGTCCCTGCTGACCTTACAGAGAACAGGGTCAAGGCCCAGGATGAAGGTCTGGCAGAGGGGACGTGGATGGCTTCTTCAGGACAGGTGCTACTTGAGGAAGCCAGAGATGGTGTGGACTTGGAGGCTCAAATAGGTTCAGGGTTCCCCACAAACCATCAGTCTGTCGTCTCTATAGCCAGACCTTGACTGCATCTGATGCTGTACACATCACTCCTCCCAGCTTTTCTTCATCCCAATAGACGGGCCCTACTTAGACACTCAACGTCTTACCTGGTGGGTGTGATTTGCTTGGGTGTAAACAAACACCCGCCTACCAATTTCCTTGCAACACCTGTTAGCACACACAGGCACTTGAGGGAGGAAGGGCCCTATGCAAGCCTCACACTCAGCCTTTAAGCTGAGACTTACACACCCAAATTTTGACCTCAGGCAGCCCTGGGTTCAAATCCTGCTCCACAAAATACTACTTTTATGACCCTGAACAAATCCTCTCATGGAAGGAACTTTGCTTGCCTCATCTATGGAATGGGGAAAGGCTCTATCCCCTAGTGAATAGCAAGGCTTCCCTGAGTGGCTGCCACTGGTGTTGCCTAGTGAACTTAGTTGAGGAATTTGCACCTGGCTAGGAAGTGACTAGGCCCAGGCTCTGGCTGGTATGAAGAGCTGGGTCACCTGTTATGGGGCTGTCAGGGTTGAGGGAAGGAAAACCTGCAGCCTAGGAATCTGGCCAGGAAGGAATGAGGACAGAGTAGAAACCTGGGGTGGTATGGTTCCCTAACGTCCATACTGTTTTACACTGATGCTAGAGGTCTGTGGAGAGGGGCCTAGAGCAGTGGCTCTCAGCCTTCCTCATTCTGCGACCCTTTAATACAGTTCTTTATGTTGTGGTGACTCACAACCATAAAATTATTTTCGTTGCTACTTCATAACTGTAATTTTGCTGCTGTCATGAGTTGTAATATAAATATCTGATATGTGACCCCTGTGGGAATCGTGATTGGCATGTTAAGAACCACTAGCCTAGACTCTGCTGGTGACACTGGGTTCAAATCCAGATTGGGTTCCTTCCTAGCCACCTAGCCACATGATCTCAACTGGATGTGGTGGCACATGCTTGGAATCCCGACACTCAAAAGGAGGAGGCAAGAGGACAAGAGGACACCAGCTTTCACAAGGCCAGGCTAGACCTCTTTTTTTTTTCTTGGTTTTTCAAGACTGGGTTTCTCTGTGCAGCTTTGGAGCCTGTCCTGGCACTCTCTCTGGAGACCAGGCTGGCCTCGAACTCATAGAGATCCGCCTGCCTCTGCCTCCCGAGTACTGGGATTAAAGGCGTGCGCCACCAACGCCTGGCCAGGTTAGACCTCCCTAGTCTGTGCTTTACTTTCTTGTCTTTGTGAACATGTCTTTATGTGTATAATACGTCTTTATAACGTCTCCTTCATAAACAGTGAGGTTAGAACTAGAGCATGTAAATAGCATGTAATATGCATGTAGGGAACACTCAGTAAAGTATGAATGTCACCCCGTTAGTTTTAGCACTTGGGAGGCAGAGGCAGATGGATTTCTTGTCGATTTGGGGCCAGCCTGATCTACATAGCAAGTTCCAGGACAGGCAGGGCTACATCGAGACCTAGTCCTCACCCTTGTGTGTGTGAATGTCAGTGGCTGTATCTGATCTCATGATGCTGTGACATAGGTAGTATCCATGCTTTTAGACGAGCAGCTCTAGCTCAGAGCAAGTCTGCAACTATCCAAGGTCACTCAGTCTGCAGGGAAACTGAGACCTATGCTTGCGTTGTCTGGCTTTGAGCCCAAACCATTAGAGGCCTTCCTCCCAGAAGAGGGTATTTAGAGAACCAAAGACAGTTCCCTGGGGTGTCTCCTCCCTGCACACAACCTGTCCTAGAGTTCCCAGAACAGAGCACTTAACATGACAGAGGTCCCCGGGAAGAGTGAAAATGTCTATTCCCACCTGTCAATGCTGTGTCCTCCTAACTCCCCAAGTGGCCAGAGGCCCCTACAGATGGCATAAGGGCTCAACACGAAGAAAAGAATTCTCTCTGGGAGAACTGAAAGTTGACACTGACACAAGACCTACAGGGAAAGGGAAGTAGAAACACTTACTAGGTTCATTGTACCCGTTTCACACAGCAGGGAAAACAGAAGCTTGGAGTTTGAATTGTATGCCTCCCTGTCTCGCAAAATTAGAACAGGGCAGTTAGCCTGACATCTGGTTTTAACCTATCCTTTGGTGTGGCATGCACACATGAATGTATACACATGTGTATTTAAGAGGTTCTCTTTTTTTTTTGAGACAAGCTGGCCTAGGATTCATTGTGTGGCTAGATTGACCTTGAACTCATGACAGCAATCCTCCAGCAGCCTTCTAAGTGCTAGAATTACAGGTGTGTGCCACCATGCGTGGATGAGTGTTTGTGCTGTGGGGGAGGGAAGGAAGGAGGTTTGCGTCTCACTGTTTAGCTCAGGCTTACTTCAAACTCACTATATAGTCAGTCAGGCTGGCCTTGAACTCATAGTGGTCCTCCTGTCTTAGCTGTCCTAGGGCTGAAATTAGAGGTTTATGCTGCCACCATGTTTAGCAATATTCATATCTTTAAAAGAAAAAGATTTGTTTATGTTTATATGTGTGAGTATTTTGTCTGTGTGTGTGCACCACATGCATACCTGATGGCAGTAGAGGCCAGAGAGGGTGTCAGATCCCCTGGGGCTAGCATTACAGATGGTTGTGAGCCACCATGTGGGTGTTGGGAAGTGAACCCAGCTCTTAGCCACTGAGCCATCTCTGTAGCCTCTAAAATTCATATCTTTAAAGACTAAATCTAAGGGCTACAAACAGACATATCTGTAGCTGGCTGCTCACTCCACTGATGACTTTGGCAATGCTAATATCCTATGGGTACCATGCTTTTGTCCTTTCTCGTAAGCCCCACGTGCCCACCCCTGAGGTACTCTGTGAACTAACCAGTCTTGGGGCTGGACAGTGTGACCAGAGGAGGAGCAGAAAGATGATGAAGGGGCAGCAAGGTGTCTCAGCAGGCAAATCACCAGCCACATAGCATGTATCCTTCCATACAGACACATAAGCGAATGGATGTAATTTATTTTCAAAGGGAAGAAAAAGAGAGGCAAGGGAGGCAGACATAGGAACCAATGATCACCATTTGATGCTGTACTTTTGTTCTCAGTCTTCCAACATACCTAATGCTCCCTCTGCCGCTTTGCAACCTGTTCCTCCCTGCCAGACCCTTTCTTTGCTTTGCCACCTCCTGCTCATCCTTCAGATCATGTGTGGGTTAACCGTGTCCACTGTACTATGCTGTATGTGGTACTTCCTCTCTGCTGCCATTTGTCTGTCTGCCCTACTGGAGGGTGAGCTCCCTAGAGGCAGGAATCTGGCTATCCTCTCATGGTTATGTTGTTAATATCTAGAATATAGTAGGCCTGGCACGCAGATAGAACATCCATGGATGTATGAGTAAGTTCATTGGGCAGATTGCTGTGCGAATCAGCAGTGCATGTGTTCAGTCTGACCCTCCCTCTTCTGTTTTACTGATCTTCCAGCTATGATAGCCAGGATCCCCGCAGAGCCAAGACCTTCTCCAGAAGGTGACCCTTCCCCTCCACCACCACCAACACCGATGTCAGCCTTGGTTCCTGACACTCCCCCAGACACCCCTCCTGCCATGAAGAATGCCACTAGTCCTAAGCAGCTCCCACTGGAACCAGAGAGTCCCACTGGGCAGATCTCGCCTCGGCCAGCTCCCCCACAGGAAGAGTCCCCATGCTCAGAAGCAAAGAGCAGGGGAACCACCCCACCAGCCACAGGCCCAAGGGACGCCAGGCCTTCTCGAAGGAGTAGCCAGCCATCCCCAACAACAGTGCCAGCTTCAGATAGCCCCCCCACCAAACAAGGTATTTATGTCCCTGGTGTTGGGCTAAGGGTTGGTCATGTGGAGTCTTCCTTGCCATGGAGAATGAGGGCAGGAAGGTGGGGAAGGACTAGAGGGAACTGAGGCCAGTTGCCCAGGAGACCTTTTGACTTTCTGTTCTTCCCTCTGCTCAGATGTAAAGAAGGCAGGAGAGAGACACAAGCTTGCCAAAGAGCGACGAGAAGAGCGGGCCAAGTACCTAGGTGAGTGTTTGACTAGTGTTATCTGCATCGACATTCCCCAGCCTCCTGTGAATAAATAATACAGACTCTTCTAGAATACTGTGTATGTGCTGATCTCACTTAATCCTGAGCACATTTTGAGGAGGAATCGGGTTAGAAGAGATGACATCTCTTGCCTAAGATCTGGTGAATAGCTGAAATCAGACTCAGTATCTTACCTCAGATCTATTCGCTACACTAGTAGTCTCAGCCTGTGGGTCGTAACCGACCCCCCCTCGCAGGGTCAAATATTTGATATCCTGCATATCTGATATTTACATGACGATTCATGACAGTAGTAACACTACAGTTATGAAGTACTAACGAAATAATTTTATGCTTGGGGTCATCACAACATGAGGAACTAACTGTATTAAAGGGTGGCAGCGTTAGGAAGGTTGGGACCCACTGCTCTATACATGCCATCATATGTTGAAATCTGTCCAGTAGGCCCCCAAATCGCACCGGTGGGCTCACTTGTGAGAGATGTGAGGCCAGTGGGGGAAACAGATTTCCCTAGACCTGCCCTGAAACATGAATGGGGTACCAGAGGGTGGCGGCCTCACAGAGGCAGGCAGAAAAAGGGCGGCTCAAGGCTGAGGTAGAAGACCACTGCTGGGGCTACTTCAGGCTCAATCATGCCCCTCCTCTCTGTCCCAGCGGCCAAGAAGGCAGTGTGGCTGGAGAAGGAGGAGAAGGCCAAGGTGCTTCGGGAGAAGCAGCTCCAGGAGCGCCGCCGACGGCTGGAGGAACAACGGCTTAAAGCTGAGCAGCGCCGGGCTGCCCTGGAGGAGCGGCAGAGGCAAAAGCTTGAGAAAAACAAGGTGCGTTCTTGGCAATCCCAACCAGCTTCACACAGATCTTCAGGTCTATGTGCACATGTGCCCACTGTCTGTGTAGTAGTGAAATGCATACACACATGTGCTCTGTGCCTAGGCAGTCCAGTCTGCATCCACCTCTGTGGCTCTGTCCTGTGTGACAGGCCCGAGGGTCTGTATGCAGATACATGTCTGTGGAAAATCCTACTTCCATCACATGGATAGAGCCTAGTTTGAGCATTGTTGAGGCTATGAAGGACATGACAGCCTAGTCCTGTCTTGTAGCCTCAGCCGAAAAAAGGAAAACAGACCCAAGATCAGGATCCTCAGTGCTAGGGAGACATGACCCTGCCCAGGAACCCCAGGCAAGGGGAGTCCTACCCATCCCAGGAAGTGACTCAAGCCCAAGAAAAGCTCTCAAGAACTGTGGATAGGATCTGTCTATCGCACATGGGCTTGAATCACAGCCGAGTCAGTAACTTTGGTTGCCTGCAGTGAGTCAGAAAGACCTTAGGATGGAGGAGGACTTTCTTCCAGGTACACTGGCTGATTCTGAGCCCAGACCTTTCCCTTTTCCCCATTGGATTCCAGGAGCGCTATGAAGCAGCCATCCAGCGGTCAGTGAAGAAGACATGGGCTGAAATCCGACAGCAGCGCTGGTCCTGGGCAGGGGCCCTGCACCACAGCTCCCCCGGACGTAAGACCAGTGAGTGGGCTGGGAGTGCCGGTGGGTGGCTGGGCAGGGCTGAGGCCTGGTGAGGTGGGGGAAGGAATATTTTACACACGAGATGCTCGATAGTTTCCTGCAGCAGGTATGTCCTGCTTCATGGATCTTCTGGAATGGTCTGTAAGCCCAATCATGCCTTCCTAAGGACTTCCACTATCCAGTCAGATTTGGATTCTGTCGACTCGTTTGCTCCTCAAACCCTTTGTCGTCTTAGGAGTTGCCTAACATGCTTTCCTCCTGTCAATCACTGTTAGTTGATGCTATGTAGAAAGAGGACTTTAATGCCCTGCAAACCCTGGATGCTTAAAGAAAATTGTCATCCTCTGTTTTGGAAGGTAGTTTTTTGTCTGAGTTTTCTTCACATAGGCACATTATGGACTTTGGTCTGACTCCTTGCTGGCATGTATATACCGCTGTCCTTGGATGTCTTTATGCAGTGACAAGGTTCCGTATCTCGTGTATCTCTCCTGGTGTATGTGCTCATAGATATGCTGTGTAGCCCACTCTGTGAGGCTGTGTTTCAGGCTTGTGTACCTCAGTGGGGGCTCCTACGTCAGACTTGGGCTCAAACTCGGATACTTGTGTGACCTCTGACTTCTCAAATCTCACTTTCCTCATGTGTAAAATGGGGATAACAGCACGGCTTGCCTCCGAGGTTGTAGGTAGATGTTTGGAGGATCAAGTGAGGTAACATGTTTGTGGTGCCCAGCACAGTGCCTGGCCCATGGTAAGCTGTCGTAGCTGTCATGGCTAGGTCACTTCATTATGTTTCTGCCTGTGTACATCTTACTTGTGTTCCTCCGTTTGCGCATGTCAACATACCTATGTGCATGCATAAGTATCCACCACTCTGTATGCCCATGTTTGCATGTCTTTGTCTTTGTGTGTCTAGAGAAATATGTGGATCTATGCAATTGTGAACTGTGTAGGTCTTCTGTTTAGGAACATCTTTGCATTGTCCCAGTATGTGGGTGTTGTATCCATAGCGCCTTGGCTGGGCAGTGTCAGCAAGTGCCAATGTTGGGTGGTTGTGGGGAGGGGTTGCAACACCCAGCCCCAGGCAATGGCTTCCTTTGGTCTGGCCAGGAAGGCTGCAGTTCTAGTTTTCCACCATTATTTCCCTCTGCTCCATCTCCGTTGGCTCCCCAATCAAGGTTGTTTTTGATCACCTCCCTTGTCGTCCCTCCCCCTCCCAGGGCCAAGTCAAGCCTCCTCTTCCCCATCCTAGCCTGCCCGCTCCTTCCTCTCCCACCCTGCCCTCAGAGCATCCTGCATGGAAGGCCTCAGTGCCCCCCCTGGCTCCCGTCTGGCCCGGCCCTAATGCCGTGTCTTTTCCCCTCCAGGTGGGAGCAGGTGCTCCGTGTCGGCAGTAAACCTGCCCAAACACGTGGACTCTATAATCAACAAGCGGCTCTCAAAGTCCTCTGCCACGCTCTGGAACTCCCCCAGTAGAAGTAAGAGGAGGCTCAGCCTTCCAGCCCCCTCCAGAGCCCCTTGTAGCCAGCCAGCCCCCTCCAGAGCTCAGCAAGAATATTCATCCCTGGAGCCCCCATACTCCAGGTCCCGCCCTACTCTATCCCAACCAGAGTTATGTGCCCTTTCCGGGAGCCAGCATTTGGGTCTGGACCCCAGGACATAGTAGTATCCTGTAAGAGAGGAGAACTGAAACGAAGGACAATGACCTAGAGGGCAGAAAGCCTGGCGGGGCCTCAAGAGAAGATTAGGTTAAGGGCTGGGGTGGTAATGGGCATTCAGCTTTATCTCTAACCACAGCCAGCTGGCCGCGGCCAGCCTTAGACAGGTGGCTTTGCCCCCATGTGTCAGGCTAGCCTGGATACTAGGGTGGGGGTGTTCTGTCTCCACCCTGGAGGGCCATGCAACCCTGCCATCTCTGCCTCTAGAGCACCTGCTTTGGCCTTGGCTGGGCCCAAAGTTGGGACCAACCAAGGTGGCACAGCTCCTGCGTTCCCACCATGCTCTGGTGCTTACATATGAAAGAACCATGGTTAAAGTTATTTATAAGTTTCTCTAGCTTGTATTTGGTTGCTCTGTTGCCTAGCAACCAAATCAGCTGCTGCACCAACCTACCAGACTGAAGCTTAAAAATAACCCAGCAGCTGAAGGGACAGAGCAGGGTAGCCTAGGGCAGCCGGGCCCTCTAGCAGCCCTCTCTGTACACTCCTAACGGCTGGTTGGAGGAGCACAAGGACCCTCAACTACCCCAAATCCAGGAAGCATGCCCCTCCTGCCACCAGGCCAGCATAATGAGACTAGGAGAGGCAGGCCCTACCTGGGACCTGGGAGAGGGCAGTTGGGGCCTCCCTAGATCCTGTTATGACTCCTTCCTTTGCTTACAGCTTTGAGCTCTCTCATCTGGGGAGATGGGTAGGAGGCACTCCTAAAGTGATGCAGAGTGTTGGCCTAGGATAT